AGAGTTTATCAAATAGAAAGTCCTAAACTAGGTTAGGTTAAACAAATCACCTAGCATTAACCTAACACTTTAAACATAGGTTATTTTGGGATTTTGGTGATATTATCTAAAAAATAGTATATACTCTCAGCCCTCCGCAGGCCACAGCTCGTATTCTTCAAGCGCATCATACCTTCAATACTTTGTATACTCTGTGCACAAATATGAAATCGACTAGAAAGTATAGCTCTTCAGTAACTATTGTCTTATCGGAGCGGATTCGGAAATCAAATCACATTTATTTTTCAGCAACAGTTATATTATGAAATCCACCTCGTTCGGTCACGTCCGTCCTCTGCGTCATCACCCGGCAATAATAAATTATTGTATTCCGTGTCTTATATTGGAGTATTATTATTATAGTCATCGTCGGTGCGTTATTTCTATTTCGGCGTAAATTCTGCTGTATAATATTAGATTCTACGTGCGACGTCGTCTCGGATCGCGATATTCGAAAGGTTAAAAGACGCGAAACAAAAACATCGAAACGTGCAATTAAAGAGACTTCTGGAATCGTCCTGCACGGTCGTGACGGCCGATGATCATAATAACATGACGTACAGTATACTATACCATAATAGTCGGCCGGGAAAAATTGTGGAAAAAATTTAATAACAACAATGATACATAATACCAGCGTATTATGGTCGTATATGTATATAGCACAGCGAAATCGACGACTCGACCGCGGAGAACACATTTATTATGATCATAATTATACTTGCACGAAAAGAGGAACGGTAGGGGGATGAAGGAAAACAATTTTCCACTACCTATATAGATCCCTTGATATGTATATCAGTTTGTACAATTATTTTATATGGTGGTGGCTTTCTGATTGTTCCCCTCAGTATACCTAAAGTATACATCAACGTTGCGCCCAATATACAAGTACTAGAACGCCATCAATATTCTCATTTTTCACGGTCTGTAATCTCGATTAATTTCATGGTAGGAAGGGTTTTGAAAATAGTATAATAATATATTATGATTATAAGCAGTTAGTCATATATTATTAGAGTTAATTCTGACATATAGGTACCTACAGGTCAAATATGAATACAAAAAAAAAATTTGCAACATTTTTCTATACTAATTTAAAACCTCTTATCTGCAGAAAATATATATCTATATATATAAGATAAGAATAATATTATGAAGGTAACGAATAATAAAAATGTATATATTTTTTTTTTCTTCTTTTTATAAACGATTTTTTTTTGTAACCTAGGTATACTACGGTAGGCCACGATGGATGCCACTTGATAATAATAATATAATATCATAGGTATCTATACCATATACCACATTGTTCGCTTCTCTCCCGGTGTGGGTGGTATGTACGATAACGTTAGCAACGATGAATTGATGCAGCCCGGTCTAGGAATAATTATATTAATATGACGTCGGGCACGGGAGAGGAAAAAACTTACACAAACCTAACATTATTATTGTTATTATTATTAGGTGTATATACACGGTACATGTAGATACACGGGTTTGGAACCTTACGAAACAAATTTCAAAATGTCGACGTCCAAAACACCGCGCGCGTACGCCTCGCGGGTTACAGCAGATCGCGAGCGTTATAAACACATAATATTATGTATATTATAGAAGTGCATATGAAACGTATGGTATGCGATGTGCACGCGTTTAATTATATAGTTAAGACCATCGCCCAGTGCGAGATATTTTTAGTTTTCGGTAAAACTGTCAATCTCGGTGTGGCTGACAAAAAACACCTATGGGGATAATAATATCATAATACGACACGCGCGCACGTTTTTTATAATATTATTGTAATAATCATTATATAATATTACATAGATGAAGCGCGCAGTATGAGCATAGGAGGTATACTCTTTTGTACTTCGGTATAGGTACTAACAATATTTAGATGCTACAAATTTTTACTAACACTCGTAATAATAACAGCTAGCCGGTCTGCATCTCTACCATAGCGTATAGTACTAGTAATTTTTTGTGTATAGTGGAATATAGATGATAAACGCATTTTCAAAATAATAAAACATAAAAATATCTTTTTTAACTTAATATTATTACATGCTCAGCGACTGTCCGTCTTTTATCCGATAGATGATGTTGTCAAGTAAGTGGGTACCTACCAATAGTTGTATTAGGGTTGAATTTTAATTTTGATTCCGTTTCCACAAAACGTCATCCATTCGGATTATTGTATAACGGCGCCTCATGACTCATACCGTATTCAATCGTGCTCCAACACGGTACAACTACGTTGTTTAAATTGTACACAACAAAGTATTTAATAATATTACGTCTATGTCTATGTGGGAAAACACAAAATATTAACATACAGTACATTTAAAACTGTACACACAATATTATAAACATTAATTTAATTTGAGTGGTTTTGATCAAGTATAAAATACAGGTCTAAAAATATTTGAGAAAATTTACTTTCCGTAACTAACGGTAACCTTTTATTTTGGAGAAAACAATTTTGTTAGTCAGCCGATCTCTGTATGAGCCTTTCTTTTAAAACGCTTCAGTTAAAAAATTGAGGTGCACATCCCTGCGAGTGTAGGATTGTACTAATATACCAAATCTTAGAACCATTACAAGTGCGATGGATTTGGCTATGAATTGCTCTCTCTCTCTCTCACACACACACACACACACACACGATCAAACATTGCATATCATTATCATTAATATAGATATAAAGGTATCGTATACGTTTATTATAATATATAGGTAAGAATAGTATAATATATATATATATATTTATTTATTTATAGATAAATTATACATCCTATATATATATATGTGTGCGTGTGTGTGTGTGATAAGAACGCGCGTTTAATCAAAATGATTCATCTCGGGCAATTACCCGATCTAGCTCAACCGGAAAACGTCGGACTTATAATTACCCGGCCGCGGAGATTATTATTATAATATTGCGATTCAATGAGCATTTAATTATGTTAATTCGCCCGGTTGTCTGTTATAATACGGCAAGCTAGGTTAGGCGAGGAAAAAATCAGCACAACGCGTTCGCCGCCCGCCGCGATGTAGGTATATATTATAATATTATTTATGCGTAAAGATGCGCGCGTTCCCGCCCGTATCGGCCTTAACCTGTGAAATGCAAATTTATCACTGACCGAGGTAGGTACACTATATACATTTACCAACTTAATACTGTATACATTAAACTATATTATATTGGCTATAATATATGTCGATGATATGATATGTAAGTTTATTAACTGAATCGCTAACTGCAGAAAGTGGATAGGTCCACTTTTCTGATGTAGATAAATTATTATTTCCTTGCTATATTTTCAGATTTTTGATCTCGTGTATTTGTCTACTTTTTGCGGTAAATGACGTATTTACACGTGGTTAATGAAAAATTATGATAAAGTATAAATTGATAAAATTGGACTTGTTTCCTTTCTGCAGTTAGCGATTCGACTATATATAAGAGGACTAGAAAAAATTTGTTTTGAAATTAAAAATGCTTACTACACAAAACAACCACGTCCAAAAATTTTAAGTTTACACGTCCTTTTACTTTCGAACTAACATTTTAAAATTAAATATTACAAAAAACGGTAGGGTAGGGTCGTAGTAGGCAATAGTATCTAACATTTTTGAAATAGTTACAAAAAAAGATTTCAAACTAATAACTAGTGTTATTGACTAAAAAATAATTAATTATACTAAATAATAATACTAATAATCATTAGTAGTAATAATTAGTAATTAATATTAAACATTTATATAACAATAGTAATAATGATTTATTTACTGCTACGATGATAAATGTGTAAGCCGTAAACTTTTATAGTATCTTCTTCGAAGCATTATATTATACGTCAAAATTCAAAAGTATAAATTGTACGTATGCGGTCAATCGTGCGATCCGTGATAGGTTAACGTAATTCCCGCTATCGTTTCAAATAAATAAATTTACTGATTTTAATAGACGCGTACAAAATAATTTCATTTGAAATTTGAATAGCTATTTATTCATATATTTATATAATATGCATAGCATTAATATTCATATCCTACGCGATCAAAAAATGCATCATTTCATATTAATCCTGCAGCAACAACCATGTATAAATCTGATTTGCAAACGGAATTTATAAACCCAATGAAATTATATACATTACCTGTATACTCTTAAATATATAAGGATATATAACATAATATATATAATGTATATGTACATATATCATAATGATATTATGTTAGCGCAGTAAATCGTATATGTGTCAGACCATCGTATTTTAAATTATATCTGTTTCTCGCATTAGTAGATAATAATATAATCACGGCCGCGGCATCGTAATATTATAGGCGTATTACAGTTAACACATCTGCTGCAGAATTAAAACTTGGCAACGACTATTAAATAAATTAAACCTACTCTACAATATTAATTTTTAGAATTTTTTTTGTATGTATAGAACTTATTTCGTACAAGAATTTCCCCTAAAAACATACTCTTGTTTGTTAATAGTTCTGTGAAATTGTTCTAAACAAACCTATATACTTGTACCTATATAAATCGTGGTGGATGATTATTATTTATTTAAATTACAAACAGACACTCCGCCAAACAGCATACAACTCTATATTATATAGCTAAATGTTCAATTTGATAATCAAATGAAAAATAAAATATTCTCAAATCATAATTAAATAAAAATAGAGAAAGCGAGATCGAAGTTACCGAGTGGCATACACGTATTCAACGCACTAAAAGTTCTTCTATAATCATGATAGTTCATTGTGGAATAGTGTGATTTACGAGTAGGGATTTTGAAAGACGAAAGAAACTAATAGATGTTTAAGGTGTGACTGCAAAGTTAATACAATAATTTTCTTAACTAGCAATGTATAATAATAATTAATAATCAATAATAGAAAATTATATATCATATGTGTCTTTGGTGGTGCAGAGATCAAGAGGCAGCAGTGATGCGGGCCAACAGTTGGCTGTACCACTATTACATGGTGCAGAGCAAACTCCAGTACGGGATGCAGTTCGAAGCGCAGACGTCGCCGCGGGTACCGTCCACCGGACCTGCGCAGGTGCAGCCCGGCGTGCCCCCACCGACGACGGCGCCTGTTTATGCTTACCACCACCAACAGTCACCGCACCGGCAAGACGGCGCTTACCCGTCGGCCGCGGACCACCAGCACCACCAACACCACCAACAGCAGCACCAACAGCAACACCAACAGCAGCAGCAGCAGCAACAACAACCGGTGCACTTTCACCAGCTGCCGGACGGGTACTTCCGGTATGCCGCTGCGGCCTCGCCAACAGCGGGAGCTGCTGCGACGACGGCCGCGGCAACGACCACTGTGGTGGCCGCAAAGCGGCACAGGCTGGAACCCGAACCCGTCGACTATTCCATACATTCGCCAGAGCAGACGCCGCCGCTGAAGGTCGAAGACGGCGGCCACTCGATGGCGTCCGACTCGACGCCGTCGCCGCCTTCGATGGGTGGTGGCGGTGACTCCGGCGGCGGTTGCGCCACCGCCACCGTGGCCGCGCTATCGTCGTCACTGCCTTCGGCCACGTCGCTGGGCCGTTCACGGGCACTGGTCAAGGCGGCCATGGACCCCGGTGACCTGATGATGGAAACATGGAATCCCAGTCCACCGTGGTCGGACTGCTGTTCCGGGGGCGGTGCCCTGCAAAAGGTGCCCGATGTGGACATGCTCGGCAGCGGCGGTGGCGGCGGTGGCAGTTACTGCGGACAGCCGACGCCTCCCACGCCCGGTAGCGGTGGCTCGTACCACGCGTCGTCTGGTGCACCGCAGCAACACCACAACCATCACCACCATCACCATCCGGGTGGCTGCGACGAAGTGCCCAACACCGACGCGCTTCACCACCACCATCACCATCACCAGCCGTCCACGTTCACGTTCGACTGGCCGGGTGAGCAGTACGTGCCCAACGTGCACGAGGTGCTCGTCGAGCCCACGCCGCATTATATAGTGCCGTTTCCGCCGTGGCCGCACGCCGCCACCGCCGACCACCACAGGCTGTTCCCGCTCCAACCGCCACCGCCCGGTTCTCTGAACAGACCGTCGCTCATCGTGCGCGTTGACCAAGACGCCGCGGCCGCCGACGCTTCCGTCCAAGGTAAGCGCGTTTTTTCGTTTTTCATCATTCACTGCACATGCAGTTCGTATATTCGTATATAATACTCAAGTGCACGTGCGCCATCGAAAACTATAATGTGTAAACTAACAGAAAATGGGCGTTTGTCCCCTTAAAAAAAGACAAGTTAGCGATGAACACCTTGCGATCGTATACTAAATTCCCAGTATGTAGACACGTTTAATACAAAACAATAAATTATAATATATACAATTTAAAAAGAACTTGCAGGTATAAACTTTATATTTTGGTACCTTTTTTTAAAAATATTAGTTAGGTTAATACCTTTTTTCCACGAAGCAAACATAATTGTTCTAAAATAAGTGCCCAACCACCAATATCGATTCCGTGTCAATGTAGTGGTGGGAGCCCCAGTGGCAGTCCTACGGGGGGGATGAGTGGATTGCCCCCCTTGGTTAAATATAAAATATCAATTACATATTATTACATGAAATAAATTTTTTTATGACTTCTATTTTTGAGTACTTATTGTATTTAATGTGAAAAATATTTCACCCCCCC